CTGTCATTAGAAGTGCAGGATAAACACATCAGAATCCAGTCTCCTTTTCCCCCTTTCTTTTCTTCTTGCTTTTTCTTTTTATTGAGGAAGGAGGGACTGGCCACCAGTCGTAGCACATTTAGATCAAGTAGGTTTCTTTCCTTAAAATTCTTAAGATTGATGTCTCAGAGCATCAAGGAATGCTCACTTTGGAACCAAGCTTGGATTCTTCAAGTGGACACTGAGGAGAAGCCAAAGAGAGACAGGCGATCACCAAGGAAGAGCGGGCGGGGAGAGGAGCCCACCTGAGAGCAAAGGGGAACAGGCCCAGCTCCCTGAAGGTGGGAAAGGGGCACTTAAAACACTGGCCAAGGAGCTCCATTTTCCATCAGCTAGAAACGTTATTCCAGGAAGAGCCCACAGGTAAGCTGTCCCTGTGCCACTGTTTCCAGCCAAGGGTATCTAGGAGTGTTATTCCAACAAGCACGTGCTGAGCTGCTTTAAGACTCAGAACCGGGAAGTTAAGAGGCCGGTCTGTGTGTAAGGGCTCCACGGATCTCCCCCAGAATTGCGCCTCATGTTCAATTTCTCTAAGGGATGCCTTCACTAAGTTTTCTGAAGATTAGCTGGAACGACCTCAAACGCACAGCCAGGCATGTCACCAGATGCCCTTAGTGGGGTCTTCAGTGTTCCCCCACCTATTGGTGCCCTGTGACAGCCGAGCCCCCAGAAGAGATCGCCCTGCCTGCGCAGCACAGTTACCGGCCATCCCAGGACCTGAGAAATGTGCCTCTCCTGTCCCCCGACTCTTCACCACCACGTGGCCAGAGCTATCTGGTTTTCACCCATGAACATCTTGGCCTTTGAGATAATGCTGGGCTTGTCCCCAAAATGCTGTGCCTGTTTGTCCACACTGAAACACAGGTGGCAGTAAATACCACTCCTCTCCTCTCCCCGTGACCATGGGAGGAGGCTCAGAAATTTGTCCTGGAGAGTGAAGGGTCAGCAATATTCCAGTAAAAGCGACACTGGACAGGGTGGTCCAGACGGTGGCTGCAGAGATCAGTCACCTCTGCCTCCGGTGTCACAGGCTGAGCGGGCAAGCGCACACCTGCTCGGCGGCCTTGCCCTGTGGGTCCAGATCCTGAGCC